GCCTCCTTGTTGTTAAGATGTCAGCTTCCTCCAAAGAGATGAAGCAATTAAATGCAGTCCTTATCAAAATCCCAATGACATTTTGTGCTGAAAGACACCCATCCTAAAATTCATATGGAATCTCAAGTATGCCCAGATGTCTAAAATAGTCTTGAAAGGAAGTACTAAGTTGGAGGACTCTGTTTTTACTGATGTAAAACTTGCTGCAAACCTACAGTATCAAAACAGCATTGTAATGGCATAAAGACAGACACATAGAGCATCGGAACAGAATAGAGAGCCCAGAAATAAGGTGGCCAAGGTTGTTCAACGTGGAAAAGACAGTCTTTTCAACCAGTGGTTCCTGAAAAAGTGGATATTTTCATGCAAAATCTAAACTTGGATTCTGACCTCACGCCAGATATAAAACTTAATTCTCAATGGATCAAGACCCAAATGTAAGAACTGAAACACTTTGAGGAAAACATGGGACAAACGTTTCACAATAGGACTTGGCAATGATTTCATGGATATGACACTCAAGGCATGGGCAATAAAAAACAGAGTACACACACCAAAATTCATGAATATTAAAATCTTTTCTGCCTCTGAAGACAACATCAACAGAGTAAAAACACAACCCATGCAGCATGGGAGCCCATATTTGCAAATGATCTATCTGACAAGGGCTGAATCTCCAGAATAGACATAGAACTTCTCAACTCAACAACAAAAAAACAAACAACCCAAATCAAAAATGAGCAAAGTACTTGAATAGACTTTTCCTCCAAGAAGATACGCAAATGGTCAACAAGCATCTAAAAAGATGCTTAATGTGGCTAATCACTGGGGAAATGTAAGTCAAAATCTCAATGAGACATCACCTCACATCCATGTGACGGCACCCCCAAAAAACAGACAGTGAAGAAAGGCATGCTGGCAAAGATGTGGAGATATTGGACCCACGTACACTGTGGCTGGAATGTAAAATGGTATAGCTGCTGTGGAAATCAGCATGGCATTTCATTAAAACAATTAAAAATAGAATCACTAAATGACCCAACAATTCTACTATAGGATATATACACCTCAGAGCTGAAAAGTTGGTCTCAAAGACATATTTGAACACCCATGTTCACGGCATCATTGTTCATGATCGCTGAAATGTGGAACAACCCAAGGATCCATCCAGGGATGAATGGAGAAGCAACATGGGCATATATATATATACAATTGCATGTTATTCATCCTTAAAAACTAAGGATATTCTGAGATATGAGACAACATGGATGAACCTTTAGGAAATTATGCTAACTGAAATCAACCAGTCCCAAAAATACTGGCCTTGTGTGACTCCACTTATATGGCATTCCTGAAATGGTCAGATTCAGAGAGACGGACAGCGGATGCTGTTGGCCAGGGGTGGGAGCAGGGGAAGGGGAGTGACCGATGAGTGGGGACAGAGCTTCAGTTCTGTGGGGTGACAAGAGTTCTGAAGATGGATTGTGGTGATGGCTGCACCACCATATGATGTGGTCAACACACTGAAGATGCGCGTAAGGAAGTTAATGTGCTTAATGACGTGTACACAGAAAAATGGTCAAGATGGTAAGTTTTACATTATGTGCATTTTAAGCCAATAAAAATATATTTTCTGTTAAAAGTGCAAATACAAAGAAATGAGCAGAGGATGATTTAGTGTTGCCATTCGTGCTCTTCCATTCTGACCCTGGTTTTTGTCTCAGCCCTTGTACCTGAGGCAACTTTGATCAGACAAATGTTTTCATTCTGGGCCTAAGACAACCTTGAAATCAGAATTATACAAAACTCTGCAAAATTTTTGTGACCATGTATTTTTTAGAGAAAACAGAGTAAGACGTTTTTAATATTAAATTTAAGTTTGTTTTATATCAGTTTCAGGTCTACATCAGAATGATTCAATATGTGTGTATATCGTGAAATGATCACTATGAGAAGTCTGGTTGACATCTATCATCAAGAGTTACAAATGTGTTTCTTGTGATGAGAACTTCTAAGATTTACGCTGTTAGCAACTTTCAAAATGCAATATAGTATTATTAATTCCTTGACTGCTATAAAATAAGCACCATAAAACAATTCCAGTGTATCCATTTTGTTATTAATTCACTGAATCTATTTTTTCTCAGAATCAATTAATTGTTATGCAAATGACTGAGTTTCTTTTAATCTACATCATAATGTACTGACTACAGGTTCTGACATTTTAAGTTTTGTTTAGGTGTTATTCTTTCTAGCAAGTAAACTTTCCTGAATCTTATCAGTCATATCAAAATATATTCGGATGTATTTCTTCTTCCATCGATATTTAGTCACTGATAAAGTTGACCATGTGCCATTTTAACCATTATCAGTTTTGTGTGCTGAGGGTGATTTTACCCAGTAATAGACACCGTGTAGGTTTGAAGTCTCCTTGGAGGATAAGCAGTGGGGGGAGGTCAAAGCATGGTACTTGTTTCATTTGCAGAGGGTCCATTTTGACTTTGCTCTTACAAAACGTGTTCTTTGCCCATTGGGGAATCTGAGGCCCAGGAAGTTGGAGGGACTGACCCAGACCTCAGGAGGGGGTCAGAATCCAGAAGATCAGGCAGGGCTCTGGCTTCCTCGGCCAAGGCTCAACCCCTTCCCTTCGGGTTTTCTTTGGAAACAGGGACCTCATGGTCCTAGGGGAGCCCTGCCCACCCCGTCCATGGGGGGGTCATCTTCCTGTTCGCATCCAATCATGCACAGGCACACTCACACCGATTTCTCCTGTGTGGACCATGCAGGGACCCCAGGAAAGAGCAGACACCAGGGAAGTGACAAGAGGCTGAGGAGAAGGCAGTTGGAGGCAGCTCTGCCATGAACAGTAGCATCCGTCCTCCTGGCTACATGCCGAGAAGGCCCGAGATGGACAGAAGAATCCCTGAGGTTTCTAGGTGTGTCCCTGTTCCAAGGGCATCCCTGGCCCAGCCTGGAGGGCACAGGACTGGGGAGCTGGAGTCCACTTCTGTGGGCACCTGCTACTCTGATGAGCCGTTCTCCTCTTGTGTAGACATTGGGTAGAGGAGAGAAGACCTTGGTGTCCTCCTGTGTCAAGTGGAGTGCGTCCAGCGGGTGACTCCCTGGGTTCCGTATGATGCTCAGGATGGGTCTGTGGCCCTTGGTTCTCCATCGATGACGCCCTGTACTCTGAGCACCTGAGAAAATGCTTTCCCACCTGCTGGAGATCCTTTAGAACTGAGAGAGGCTTGGGGGTTCGGGTGAATGAGAACTTGGGATAAGGAAGAACATGCCAGAGCACTGTGAACTAAGGCCAGAGTCCAGGGACAAGACCAGTCCTTGTTGGACTCCCGAGGTCCTCACTTGGCTGGAGAGGAGAATCATTGCCTTGGTTGAGGTCAGGATGCCTCCTGAGAAAAAAGGACACCCAAGTGGAGGGACAGAAAGATGAGGGAGAGGGAGGCTCCTGAGGTTCCTCCCACGGCCTGGAAGCCTGCAGGT